AAGTACACTAGTCACTGGAACGAACCATGATGCGAAGATCTGATCTTCTCTGGGGATCTAACCAGGCTCTCAGTTTATACACAATAGAGTTTTCTTTATGTTTTTTTTTTTTAAAGAACAGAGCACTTTTGACTTTTGGTTATCTAACGTTACCTCAGTCAGGGTGACGGAGGCCACCTCGGATTCATGGTTGTGAGTGTCAGGGTGCTTTCTGAAGTGTGCACTGGGGTGTTTTAGGTGCTAATCTCTTCTCATCTTGGTTGAGTGCTCAAGCTGAATAGAAGGGCAGCTTGTTTATCTGTGGGGACCGCATTACCCAGGATTCCCTCTACAGCTGGGCCGGGCACGCTCAGCTGAGCTGTCAGCTCGCAGAGGTTACTACAGCTGAGGGCAAAGATGGCTCTGAACGCACACCGTCGTACACACATAAACTGCACAAAAACCAAGCTTTGATTTCAATGGTTATTTATTAAATGTAAAATATCTTTAGCACAGATTAAAAATCAGACACCTCCATCTATTTTAAACATCACAGGTTCAGGGTGGAAAAAAAAGAAAAACATTCCTGGAACAGAATCACAATCAGTTTGGAGTCCCACTTTTCAGGATAGTTACTCCACGAGGCGTGGCAGAGGGCTGAGGCAAAAACTGCACTCCTCCTCTTTACTAAGACTACAAGCCAGGAAATACTTTTCCAATTGAGTGCCGTAGCCTTATGACACTGGATGGTTAAAAACGACTTTTCTCAAAGTACTTGTCTTTAGAATCCAGATGTTTTACTAGTTACAAATGAGGACAGAAAACATGTCAGTTTTCCTAAAATGCGACTGTCTAAAATGGGCTAAAAATAGTAGGTTCTCCAGATTATTAAACTTAGGAAAAAAAAATTTGTACCTTTGCACATATATAGAGGGCCTTCACACTGCAAACACTGATTTACAGTATGCTGTACAGTATGTGTGCTTCGGGCCAGGCACAAACTTTTTAAATTGTGTCCCAGGTGCAAAGCGCTTTGCCAAAACTTAGCACTGCTGCTGAATTGGAGTGCCATCACAGAGGTCAGCTGGTGGACACTCCTCCTCTCTTCTATTCTCTGCCTCAACCCTCGCTGCTGTACAAATGCCAACTGACAACAACTGACACAGATGGTGAGCAGAAACACAGGACAGGCAAAGGGAGAGAACCACCCACAGGAGTAAGAAAACAGGAAGACTCTACACACACTGTCCAAGAGAGGATATTGCCTGACAATATTACCAACGCATTTATTTTAAACTTTTTTTTATTTGAATCTTTTACTTTTTCTACTTTTTTATATTATTTTTTATAGCACATGCCATATGAGAATTTGGGGATTATAAAAGTACCTGAAAGAATTGCTAGGTGTTCAGCATGCATAGCCATTAGTATTTACAGGTTTGTATGTACAGGGATGGGCCAAAAACAGACTGCTCTACAGTACTGGGTTATTTACATCCAGGTCAGAGGGAGAGGTCAATGACGTAACTACAGATGTGGGGGTCAAAGGGTCACATGCACAGGGTCAGAGAAAGCTTATACAACTCGGACGATGAAGACACAAAACAGAACACGGCAAAGTAACAATACTGTTAATTCAACATCACATCTCCCCCACGTACCCTTTTTGCTTTTGATACGCTCAGTAAGATGTTCTCAACAACGGGTTATTGCGTAACACTATACAAGGACATTTCTATTGCAAGTCCATGAGGTCCTTGGGTATTGAGTCAATGCTGAGATTGGAAGACTTGGATCTGGTCCCAGAGCAGTTCCAGAACCGTAGTGTTGAATCCCAGGCTAAGTACAGGCTTATTGCCACTTATCAGCAGTCAGCTTATTGCAGGGTGTTTTGTAAGTCTTTCCTCAGTGTTTATGTTTATTTTTATTACCCACAAAGGAAGATCTACACACACGTAATCTATAAAACCTGCTTCTGCACTTGGCATTGGTTTATCATATTGCTGAGATCTTTGCATTTTATTTTTAGCATAGAGAAAAATTTTCGGTTTGGAGATGTTTTGGTTGGTTTGGATCCTCCTTGTCTGTCCCCTTCCTCTCTCCCTCCCTCCCTCCCTCCTAGAATCAGTGTGGTGGTAACAGAGCTAGTTTTGTTTTGGGGAATGTGAAAGTGAAGTCTGAAGTCATCCAAAGAAGTCATGCTTAAGTCTAAAGTGGAATTGCAAGATGGTCGTCTAAAGGATTTAAAGAGTTTCCCTCTCAAAGCATTTAAAGTTAGATTTGTAACTGCATTCCTATACTTGTCTCACTTTTTATTTTTTGGACTAAAATGCCTGAAGAGGCCAATTCCGAAAGAGTATCCAAGGACAAGTCTTATTTTTTGGAGCTTAAGTCAGTGTCAAGTCAGCTTCTCTGGGCAGACGTCGTAGCTCTGGGTACCATAGATGTCTCTGATAATAAAACTACTGTAGTCAAGGTAATGCTTCACATTAAGGTGCACAGTATAGAAAGACACACACCCATCATTTTGTAGACAGCTTAATTTACAGACTTAATCTACAGTTTAACTCGGATTAGAAATCATCTTTGGACGGCACAGATGTGTTCGATGCACACTGGTTTAGTGACATTACCTTCCGTGCGGGTTGTTCATATGTGTATCTGTTCGTGCTTGTGCGCAGATACGCTCTTGTGTTCAGGCAGCGTGTAACTGTAAGTGTAGCGAAATCCTTGCCCGCCACTTACTTGCCTGGTATCTGCAAACACACACACGCGCACACACACAGTGATAAATGGCTGTGGTGGGTGGTTGAGCATGTTAATGCCTAATCTCATCAGCCTTATCTTTTACAGAGGTCACAAGGTCAAGTGGCGAGGGGGATGAGCTAAACACCAATAAGATAGCACATTGCTGGGCACACCGCACAAACAGCCCATGTACTGCTCCGTTTGTCACTAACTGCATGCGTGGCAGCCAGCAGAGAAGCTTTTTCTAAAGAATAGAAATACCTTTCAGATTTCAGCCACATAAATCTGGATTCTGAACATGAAAGTTGTTTTTTTTTATATCAATATTTAAACCCAACTGTCTGGTAATTGGACGCAAACAAACTTGTCTGAAAGTCAGCCAAGTTCAAGGTGGTGTCAGGGAGTCAGAGCCGGCGGCGCTGAAATCTTCAGTGAAGTTTAAAAGGCATTTGGCTTTCAGGCGAGCTAAATCAGATGCCCTAAGTGAGAGAGATGAGTTGAACTGAGTGCGTGTGAACCTGCAACTCAGAGACACTGCTTGGCATTTGTCGGTCTTTGATATGGCGACATGTGATGTGGATGAAGTTATCGCCTCACTGGCAGGTGAGACAGACAGCGGCACACAGAGAGATGCTGCCTTTTTCATCTGCTGTTTACGAGCTCTCTCATCACGGAGCACTTCAAACACGCTCAATCTGCTTCTGCGACGTTACACACCAGGGCTCCTCCTGGTGGAACTTTACTCAGAGCTTAGAGGGAGTTGTGTGTGGGTGCCCGTTTTGGTTTGCGTGTGTCGATGAGAGAAACATTTCCTGGAATCTGCTTTATGCGTGTGTGTTTTTGTGTTCGTAGCATTTGCATTTTGGTGCATATTTTTGTACTAGGCTGTGAAAGCTTTAGATGACATAGGATCTTGCCACTTTTAGTGTGCTGGCCTGTGCTTTGGGAATCTGTTCAAACAGTTGGCCTGTAATGTGCCTCTATTACGCATGTGTGTACGTTTGTGTGTGTTGCCCGCGTTTGACTACTGCATATACGTGGTTGTCTCAGTGTGTGCCAGTGCTCTGTGCTAAACACTAGCCTTCAGTCATCACATCAGTGTTCCCTCTCATTCTTTCTGCCCCCACCCCCGTCTCACTCTCGCTCCCTCACATCAGGAGATAAAGAGGCGAGCCATTTCATGTGGCCGCATAGAAGTCGTCTCCAGCCCTGGAGTTTGCAGGGAAGCTGTCACAGCAGCTTTTAGCCGGAGCTGCAGCATGAAAGATCCCTCTTTGAGCGGTCGGGTTATGTGTGTAATTCTCTCTGACGTGTTTATTCTGCCGCAGTTTCAGCTTTCATTTTCAAATGTCACAGAAATCTCTCTCCGTGAATATCCTTGCTAATTACTGACTGATGGGATGGGGTGTATTAGAGAACTTAGCAGGTTGCGTAAAAATACTGTTTCACTTTTACAGCGCGTCTCGGCTTGAGACGACGTGTAACAGAGTGAGTTTTCCGGGCTGAGTGATCTTCAGGTTTAAACTTGCCTTGAGAGAATTACTGAGAAAGAACTGGAGGGAAAACCGTGCGACGTGTTTGTGTGTTGTACGCAACAACCAAAAAACTTTTGATTTAAATACTTAGTTGTACTTGTATTTTCCAGCACTTGAATATTAATAAACATCACGTGAAAAATATACATATTGATAATCATGGCATTGAAACCTGCTGTTCACACATCGCACATCAGAGCTGTAGTTTCCCTGGTGACTCCCATCCAGACAGGAGCTGGTGTAATATTTTTGTTCCCGCCTTATCCTCTGTGAGTCTATACATCTGTAGCATTCACACGGTCCCACATAGCGAGATGTCCTATACACACCTGGCTGAGAAATAAATAAATAAATATATGTATATAAATATATATACAGTAAGGAGTTATATGACCCAGTCATCGGGATGCAGGGAGAGGGGAGAGACGGTGTGTGCACGAGTCTTTTTTCCCCCCCTGTAGACACAGTCCTGCTGTCTCTTTTTGTCTGTGTGTGTATGCGTGTGTCTGTCTATGTGTGTGTGGGTCTCACAGAGGACAAAGGAATGTGGTCAGAGTCTGCTTTATGTCCTCTGTCTTTTCCTCCATACAGCACACATCCTAAAGTCTGCGTGTCGTTAGACGAGTTCTCCATATTTTGTCTGCTCCTGCAGGCCGACGCCGCCTTGCTGTCTCAGCGTCGTGATTCGTCCACTGATTCTTCTTCTTCTTTTTTTATTTTTTTTTTGTCTGTCCACAGCAACAAGGGGCGGCCACCACAGTGTACTGTGCGGTAGCACCGGAGCTGGAAGGGCTGGGTGGCATGTACTTCAACAACTGCTTCCGCTGCCAGACATCCGCCCAGGCCCAGGATCCGAGCAGTGCTACGAGCCTGTGGGAGCTGAGCGAGCGCCTGGTCGCAGAGAGGTCAGTGGGCATACAGGCCCTCTAATGGACAGAAGACGAAGAGGAAGAGGAGGGCAACTAGCCAAAGAGGAATCAGAAAGGAAACAGCTGATGTTTCGTTAGGTGTGGACTAACTGTAAGAGCTGCCAAACCATGGAAGCCCATCTGGATATGTCACATCACTACAGCGTCTAAAACACTAAATATACAGCACAGGAGGGGATTTCATATACAATCTATTGAATTAGTTAAAGTTTAAGTGAAGTTAAGCTCTGCTGTAGTATTTTAAAACCGGGAGTGGGGGGAAAGGTGAAGATCTGAGCCGAACCTGTCACAGTTTGTTCTTTGTCTGTTTCTCTCTGTAATCTTTTTAAGCTCTAAAGTCCTTTTTTTCTCAAACGTCTACTTAAATTAGATGTAAACAAAATGCAAATGACCTGTTTTGATAACAATACAAGGTTTAACTAGTAAGCATACACTCTACGGCATATGCATCTGATTCCAGCAATAGTGGGCTATCAGCAAATATAATGTCTTCCCAATTAAGTTCAATATCCTCTTGTCTAGTTCTATGTTGGTGTTTATGTTTCCTATTCTGATACAGAGCGCTTGCTAATCGTTGTGCTAAATCTTTTTGGGCAAGAAGAAATAAATAGTAATGGGCATGTGAAACTTATTGAATTACAAACCCAGTAGAGGTGTGATTCTAATGGCTATGTACACAATTTTGCAATACTTATATTTCTTATCAACGTCCCTATTTGTTTTCTGTACAGTATTTACAACATCCTGATTTCTGGCCATGTGCTAAAGGGGGGTGGACATCATATTTTTTTCTGCTATTTTACTCAACCTAAGTATTGACAATCTATGCTCTGGTAAGTTACAATTTGGAGATATTTACGGGTTAATCTTTGTCCATTTGAATGACAAATACAGAAGGTGGAGAATTTTATTTACAGAGTCCAGGATCTTTAATTTCTTCAGTTCTCCCTTTTTTTTTTTGTTTAAATCATCCGCTTTAGTATTGAACTCCGGCTTTGGATTTGCTGTGGATTGGTTGCCCTGAAGCCACAGGGGGTGGGACGCTTTTGAGACATTGTGCTTTATGGCAGTCCGGATGCCGTAGGTTGGTCTTGAAACAGCATTCCAGTGTCATGATATCTGCAAAAAACACACACAAAGAGAAACAAGTCAATAAAAATCTGTTGTACAGAAATATGTGAATTCCTTCTATAGAAGTCTGAAGACCATTAGGTGGGATATTTGTGTGGGGAGCTGAGAAGTACGCAACAAGTCTAAGTACGACAGTTTCCAGTTTTCCAGAGTGTACTAACCAGGTATGAACATCACAGAGTTAAAAGCTGTTTTTACAGTATTTTTTCCCCTCTGACAGAACAGGAAATGCACTCATCATGTATTCAAAGAACAGATCAATCAATGCAATCGTACGTTTGACCAGCACCCTCACACATGAATCCTCATTGTGTTTCCTTCTGTAGAGAATCATCAGAATGACACAGCACCACAGTTATACTTAATATAATTTACTCTCACACATTGTTCACGTATTGTTTCTTTTCTTCCCTTCCTGGCAGACATACTGAAGAGAAGAAAAAAAAAAAAAGCACAGGAACAGACAGAACATTCAGAAACATGCTGTGCCCTGCACAGAAACTGATACTGCTGTTATAATCTGTTCTGTACCCAGAGTACAGGTGTCTTATCGCTGTCCTTTCACAGCACTGCACACACCTGGAACAGAGATGCAGTACAAACACTCACATGCACACACACACACAGAGCAGGAACAGTCAGCAACCCGCATGCACAGTACAGCAAGCAAAACAACATTTTATTAAACTGTCCAGAATCTTTTTGCCTCTTTATTTTGCATCAGATTGAACAAACGGTATAAATAACGTGTGTTTAAAAATTGTTTGTGTCTGAAAAAACTAAAAATACAGAAATCTGTCATAAACAGACGAGGAGTTGAACACTAATAAAGGATGTTCCCAGCTGCTGTCCATGGTGCTGATAAGGCTCAGGCCCTTTCATGGTCATACTTTGGCAAACATGAGAATTCGCCTACTTGCCAATCAGTTACAGAGCATTTTGTGTATGTGCTGACATGAGCCTCTGTGAGAGACGTTTTCCCTTCCCGAGTGTGTGACTGATCAAGTCGTGAGCAGACGTACTCGCCAGTGTGTTAAGCACGTCAGCTGTTTAGTTTCCCTCTGTTTTATTTTGATTTAGTTTGTCTGTCCTGATGTTTTCCGTTGTTTTGTCTTTGTTGACTTCATATGTGGTTTATTAAAATTGTTTGGGTTTTTTTTTTTGCTCTATTGGGTCTCTAAAAATTAGGTCTCACTTCTTGTTCTCACACTTCACCACTACTGAAATATAATCTTATTCAAAGGGATTCTGACTTGTTCAAATAGTTATGTTATTGTAGGCTCTTATAGCCTCCTGAAATGATCTTAAAGAGTGTAATTCTACACCTGGGACTTCTGTAATGTTAGCTCGCTTTCCCCAACCTCTCTGCTGGAGGAGAAACTCAGAATAAAATAAAACCATAATGCTGTTTATGACTATATATCAAGAAACTGGTACTAATGATGAAGGCTGTATGCTGGAAACACATCAGTTTGACTGATACATCTCAGAAGTGCTGCAAATTTTATATTATCACAGTCTGACACCAGCTAAAGCACTTTATACACGTGCGATCATGTAACATAGACCATTTGTGGCCTACAGATATCGCCGCTCTCGACTAAAAGTGCAGGCTTAGTCTATCAGTCGCAATTCTATGTAAGCTGAGCATATAAGAAAGCCTTTGACAGAAGGGCCAGATTCAGAACTCAAAGGAGAATCTTCAGGAGAATTACAAACAACTAGACTTGTATGCGGGTGTGCACTGCAGTGGCAGATCAGTGGGTGTGTGCCTGAGTGAAGTGGGAGGGTCCTGCCTGGCTTTCATGCAAAGTCTTATCGATCGGGCCCTATCGGAATCATCTGATAGCTAATCAATATGCTACACTTCCTCTCAGCGAGCAGAGAAGAAGGAGAAGCACGACTCTCGCAAGAGGAGGACCTTGATCCTTTGACCCAACAGTTAAGGCTCGACACACACAGACGCGCACACACACACAGTCACAGTCTGTTTCCCTTCATTTCTTTTTCTCTTTATTCCAATTCTTAGAATAACGACACCCAACAATGTAATAACTGAAAGCCCGTGTAAAGCAAATAACCGATATACATTAGAATGTTATTTTAATTAGTCGGATTTACAGTTGAGTTTTTTCCCCCTTCACTGAGTTCATTTCAATTTGGGCAGTAATTGTTTACGACTGATCATTTCATTTTCCATTATTGTTTTTATTTCTTCTTGTGATTAATTTCACCTCTCAAAGAATAATTATGAGAGGATTGATTTGATTATGCCTTTGTTCTGCTCCTATTGGCTCCATCGACCGAAGGAATGCCATGTTGCCATTTCGAGCGGATATATTTAATGATCACAATCAATGTTAAAGCTCTCTCTAGACTCAACTAACCCAATAAATATCTGCCAGGAGGAAATTTACCATCTAACTACAGCAGGCAATAAAGTCTTACTCTGTGTTATCCTCCCTCCCCACTGCTCTCTTTTAATCTCTCTCTTTTGAGGATGGCATTAGGATGAAAACTGATGATCAGTTTTCATAAAGTACCACAGCAGAGTCAATGGAAATATGATTTTCTTTCAATATCTCACGATTTGGATTGCTTGCAGGCTGCTTTTTTGATAGAGTCTTAAATTATATATATTTTAAAATTAAAAGATTATTTCCCCAGGCTCCTTTCCACTTAATTAGCCCACTTTAATATAAAAATTTGCCTGTCAAAATGTTTTTTATGTCTTGTTTGCAGATTCTTAAAGAAATACTTTAATTCTGTTGCAGTATTACAAAAACAGACATTTTTTCCCCCAGTCTCTTCATGCCATTACTGTACCATTGATTTCTGAGATGAAATGAATAAAAAGCAGTAAAAAAAAGAGTTATTTTTTGGGCACATTATTATTATTATTAAAATAATGCATTGTAAAGATCATGCAGCTGCCACATATGGCAGGAAGTGGAGCATTTTAAGGTGAGTTCTCTTTTAAATGATTAAAAAAATATGTGTAACATGCATGCAAAAGTAGATGTTTTTAATCCATGGCAATGCTTCAGTTCATCATTTATTCTTCCATGAAGACTCATAGTCATGGTAACATTTGAATCCAAGTTTACTGAGCTTGTTCACTATCAAATGCACTTATTTCCCCCTGTAGATCTGCTCGTGCAATCTATAACTTTCTGTTTTTTATTGAAGTCTCAACACGGCACCTTTGAGGAAATCCTTCCACTCCCAAATCCCCAGCGAGTCCTCACCGCTAGACAGCATGACCTTGTAAACCCTGAGTTATTTTACTCACCCATTGTGTGAGGATAGGAAGAAAAGGGAAAGCGAAAGGGGGAGACAAGGGACAGGGGGGTGGAGGGGAAAAAAAAAAAAGGAGCTCCTGCCTGTCACAGCTTTCAAACACAAAGAAAAATGAGCACTTGGGCTGAAGTACAATTATTAGCCCCTGTCTACAGATTCATCACACTATAGAGAGCCAGGGAGTGGGAAGGAGATAGAGGGAGGAGCAGAGCAAGAGGTGGAGTGGAGAAAGGTAGAAAAAGAAATGTGTAGCTTTCAGCAGAGCCGTGCGGAAGACGGAAAGACAATGAGGAGAAAAGACGGAGGAAATAGAAAATAGGGCTGTTATGCTGTGAGGGAAAACTTGCGAGGGAGCCAGGAGAGGTGCAAGGTGAAGCATGCAAAGCTAGCGTGTGCAGGGCTGGAAGGAAAGAGAGGGAGGAGGTTTTAGGTGAAATAAAAGAGTGAGAGGAAAAGAACAAGGCAGAGGTAGAGGAAGGTAAAATGAAATAAGAGGATTTGTCAGGCCAGTGGTTGGTGGCAGTAATAAAGCCTGCTAATCTGAGGGAGAACGCTTGACTGCTCACACACTGACTCTCTTGACGCCCCACTTTACCACCGGGCCAAGCCAAGGTCACACTCACACACACACACACACACACACACACACACACACGATCATGCCATTGCAAACACACACACACACGCTTGCAGAGACACTGTGCATGTTTCTTAGAGCTTTCTTTTTGTGAATCAAATTTGTGAGCGCTTTCCACCTGAGCGTCTTCCTCTGAAGGTTTCGCTGGCACGACTTTCCTCGCTTTACTTTTGACATGATTTTTTTCTCTCTCACTCATGTCACTCATCTTCTTGTTTAGCTATCATCTCCACCAAACACCCCCCTCAGCCATGTTGATTTTAAAATCTCATTTTTCTCGCTTTCTTAACTGGCTCCGCCGTGTGGATCAATACCTATCAAAACCATTACATAAATACATCTGTCACGAGCAGATAGTTGAGTGGGGATGTAATGTGTCTGGTTAAGGCCGCCATGGGGTGAAAAAAGATATGCTTAGTGTGTGTGTCTGTGAGCATTCTCAAAGGACAGCATGTGTCATTTTGTGTGACCAGGTGTGTCGGGCAGAGAGAAAGGTTGTTATTGAGCCGCGGTAAATGACGCATAACCTGGTGTACTGCTTACTTAGCCCCAGACCCCTGCTTTATGTCACTTTTTTCTCACTTGCTGTGTGTGTGTTTGTATGTGTGAGTGCCTGTTGTTGGTGTACAGTCATGGGAATATGACTGAAGCAGCTCAACAGTGCAAAATATTTTTGGAAACCCAAATGGGTAAGAAAAATACATTAGGTTTGTTCAAGTTGCTGGGAGCCGGTTAACTATTCTTACAACTTTTAGTTTATTTAACAAAAAAGGAAAAAAAAG